GAGAATCACTTGAACCCAGGAGGTGGAGGTTGCAGTGAGCTGAGATTGTACTACTGCAGTACAGCCTGGAAACAGAACTAGTCTATCTTAAAAAAAAAAAAAAAAAAGAAAAGAAAAAGCCGGAAGAGAAAAAAATATTTGGGTTGAAAACACTATTTTATATTTTATTTATTTATTTTTATTTTTTTTTAATTGCATTTTAGGTTTTGGGGTACATGTGAAGAACATGCAAGATTGTTGCATAGGTACACACATGGTAGCGTGATTTGCTGCCTTCCTCCCCTTCACCTATATCTGGCAGTTCTCCCCATGCTGTCTCTCCCCAACTCCCCACCCCCCACTGACCCTCCCCTATTTCCCCGCAACAGACCCCAGTGTGTGGTGCTCCCCTCCCTGTGTCCATGTGTTCTCATTGTTCAACACCCGCCTATGAGTGAGAACATGTGGTGTTTGATTTTCTGGTCTTGTGTCAGTTTGCTGAGAATGATGGTTTCCAGGTTGATCCATGTCCCTACCAAGGACACAAACTCATCATTTTTGATGGCTGCATAATATTCCATGGTGTATATGTGCCACATTTTCCCTGTCCAGTCTATCATTGATGGGCATTTGGGTTGGTTCCAGGTCTTTGCTATTGTAAACAGTGCTGCAATGAACATTTGCGTGCACGTGTCCTTATTTTATATTTTATATTTGTTGATGGTGAAAGTTTATACAGGTTTGTAGGTATTCCTTAGGAGAAAGAATAGACATTATCTGAATACATCCTCACCAAAGACTTGAGCAGTATTGGAAATGAGTAGGAAACTTGTGACTAGAGAAATTGAGAGTCTTTATAGAAAGAGAAAACTTAAATGATCCCTGGGACTAAATGTTTAAAAACATAAGGAGCTAAACTAGCTGGGAGGCCAAACACACATGATAGGAAAGAAAAGGGAGACCTGGGAAAGACACTGGAGTTTGTGCTTGTAAAATACAGATCTGTTATTAGATTTATAAAATACCTTGTTTTTTTGTGATTGGAAACTAGCAGTAAGTAAGGCAAAGTCATATTAAGTACTTTAAAAAGATCACTAATCCGTAGAGTTGTTTATCCAATATGGTGACCACTGCTATGTGTAGCTCTTATTAATCTCTGCATTACTGAGAACTTCATATAAAGGTGTGTGTGTGTGTATATTTGTATGTTTTAAGTAGAGTCATATATGCAATACCATATATGTGTGGTTTCTTAAATAGCACGTGAAAAGGACAGAGACTCACACCAACTATGAGATGAGTTAAATGGTAGTAGTTTCAGCAATGGACTCATCCCATAGCTGAGAAATTACCATTTGAAAATGGTAGTTTTCTAAGAAATGAAACCGTAAGTCTTTTTTTCAGTCTCTAAAGCAAAGTTATAGAGTTCTTCACTTTTTTGACTGAACTTTGATTTTTATCAGGTTTACCATTCTCTGAATTTTTAAGCATTTGATTCATATTACTAACGACATTTCACCAGGTCCACCCCTGTGGAGTAAAAAAAAATGTCATTCATTCCCCTGAACTTCAGCTTTTTACCACCGAGAGTATAGCCTTAAAGGAAGCTAGAAAAAGAAGTTTTTGTAAACCTTTAAAATGCTGTGAAAGGTTATAGTGGAGTATGCTGTGGGATTGGCAAGAGGCTGTTTTTTTATTTTTCAAGTATTACTAGAAATAGATACCCACCCAGGCTGACACAATTGTAAGATGAGAGAGATAAACCCACTAATGCTGACCAGTTAGGTTCCTAAGGGAGAACAGCTAACTATGAAGGCAAAATCTTGTATTAATTATTTTTGGAATGATGTAGAAATTCTAAATGTGGAGGTAACAGTGTGCCAAGTGTTTTTACAGGCCTGGCAATTAGGATAATTAATGCTAATGTTTCTTCTGGGTAATTGTGTAGATGTTGATTGCTTCTGACTTAGTCTTCTCAGAAGAAATACTGTTTTGGGGTTTGTTGGTAGAAAGGCCCCCAAAAGGCTCTTCATCAGAAGAATGTAGTGGCAGTGCACAGAGATCAGTGTGACACTGTTGATCCTACTAAGTGTCGTTTTGGGGGTTTTCAGTGTTTCTCTAAATGGAGTAGTTCCAAGTGTGACAGTGCTCTCATTGTCCTTGCTAGAAATTTGGGAGCAGAATTTTTTTTTTTTTAAATTACAGAGGTGGTAATAATTTGTCACTGCATTTTTAGTTTGCTTGTTCCCCCTTCCCACCATATCTACTTTAAGTACAGAATTAGCCAGATGTGGTGGTTCTCGCTTGTAATCCAGCTACTTGAGAGGCTGACGCAGGAGATTCGCTTGAACCTGGGAGGTGGAGGTTGCAGTGAGCCAAGATCCCACCACTGCACTCCAGCCTGGGCGACAGAGTGAGACTCCGCCTAAAAACAAAACAAAAAAAAAAGAAAAGGAGAGGGCCAGGAATAATTTTGGTGACAAATAGAAAACTAATCTTGTTTTCTTTCTAATTCTTTAAGATTTATGAGAATGAGTCATAGACACCCCTGACTTGCTCAGTTTCTCAAACTTTACATCTTTCTTCATTATATCAATCTGGAACTTTCTTGTCTTTATAAAGTAACGTCTTACCGCTGAGATCTCTGTGTTCTTTCTCTCCTGTTTGTATTCTTTTTTTTTTTTTTTTTTTTTTTTGAGACGGAGTTTTGATCTTGTTGCCTAGGCTAGAGTGCAATGGCGTGATCTCAGCCAACCACAACCTCTGCCTCCCGGGTTCAATCAGTTCTTTTGCCTCAGCTGCCCAAGTAGCTGGGATTACAGGCATGCACCACCATGCGTGGCTAATTTTGTATTTTTAATAGAGACAGGGTTTCTCCATGTAGGTCAGGCTGGTCTCGAACTCCCAACTTCAGGTGATCCACCCACCTCAGCCTCCCAGAGTGCTGGGATTACAGGCATGAGCCACCGCGCTCAGCCCTTGTATTCTTTACTGAACCTATGGGCAGTCTTTCCAATATACATAAATTCATTTTTATCACAGTTTAGTTAAATAACACCTGGCTGCCAACAACACAGTTCAGATTTCAGTCACCATGGTGTATTAACTGTAAGCAGTTGTATAAAATACACTTCTCCGCCAGCTCTTCAGTCTGCAGATCAGGACGTGAGTAACAGGCACATCATGGTCATGACTAGTTCTGTCCCTTCTTTCTGAGTCTCAGTGGTCACTGCACATCTACTGTCAGTTATCCTCAGGCAACAAGTGTGTAGTTGTATCACCTCTAACTCCCAGTGATAAACCCATGTGACATTTTACAAAAATGGATAATTGGAAGATGGACTTGGCAACAAGAAAAATCTCTAGAAGTGAAATTGGATGTGGTTAGGAAGATTTGAAAATGACACCAAGGTGAAGCTAGGGCAAGACCTAAGCCTACAGGAAGCTAATGGTACAAAGCATATTGGAAAAGTCCTATCACTATAAAGACCAGGGTAAAGTCACTTCAACATCTTTTCACTTATATGGCACTAGAATAGAAAGATGCTTGTAGTTCAGATGGAACATTTACTTCTTCTTCTAATTTTTTTTTTTTTTTTTTTTGAGATGGAGTCTCGCTCTGTTGCCCAGGCTGGAGTGCAGTGGTGTAATTTCACCTCACTGCAACCTCTGTCTCCTGGGTTCAAGCGATTCTTCTACCTCAGCCTCCTGAGTAACTGAGATTACAGGCGTATGCCATCCCGCCCCACTAATTTTTGTATTTTTAGTAGAGACGGGGTTTCACCATGTTAATTTGACGCTAAGATGTGAATACACCAGCAAGTTAATTAGAATGTACAGCCCTTTCGAGGAAGGTTAGCACCCAGTAAAAGTGCAGCTCTGTGAAGTCCAATCCCAATGAGTGAATTCATTCTAAATAATTTGGAAGGTTTTTACTCTTGTAGTTTGTGGAATTACTCAGATTTTATATTTATACCCAGTTCAGATTCCAGTGATCTTTGGTGAATTAGGTGGGGAATATTTGTCTGATAGTCAAATTAAGTAATATAATACTAACAGCTTCTGTATGTTAGCATATTTAGAGAAATAAAGTAGTTTTTTCTTTTTCCCTTACTGCAAAATTTCATTTAACAGCTGGCTGTATATTTTCCTGCCTTTGTCCTCACCTGACCTGGTAGTTCCAGTTCAGGATTGGTTATTCCAACTATTTGTTCTACAGAAGCCTGAGGGACTATATTTTGGCTCATTTAAAATTGAATCTTGTTTTTTTCCCTTATTGAAACTATGTTTGATTAGCTGGGCGTGGTGGCACATGCCTGTAATCCCAGCTACTCGAGAGGCTGAGGCAGGAGAATCACTTGAACCTGGGAGTCGGAGGTTGCAGTGAGCCAAGAATGCGCCACTGCACTCCAGCCTGGATGACAGAGTGAGACTCTGTCTCAAAAAAGAAAGCAATGTTTGTATAAATCATTTTGCACGGTAAGATTTACTGTATGATATTTGTCTGGCTTTATCTTCCTGATAAGACTGAAAGCACTTTGAGGGGAAATAACAGTATTTACTGTTTTTAATCCCAAAGTGAGTAGCACAAAATCTTGCAGTTATTGAAAGCTGGAAAGTGTAGTTCCCTTTCAGGATCTTTGATTCATGCTTGTATATATTAGGCCAGTTTTACAGGAAAAGAGCAGTGGATATAGGCAATCTACTTCTGAATCTCATGGCTGACGCTGCTTCAAAGTGTGGTCCTATGCAAGTTCAGATGTGTTATGTGATACATCAGACTTATTCTGGTAACTGTCATCTACCTTAATGCTTTTTCTTTCACTGGTTGACGGGCCTCTGCAGGTGTAGTTGGTGGTTACTTTCAGGACAAGTCTTGGCCCTAAGGATTGATGTTACCATTGATCTCCACAAGATGGCAGACCAAACCGCTTTTTTGTTTTACTGGGTTTCAAATAGTTGTTAAGACACCTTGCTTACGCTCTTAATTATTCTTAAAGTCTTTTTTGCCTTTTCTTTAGGTGGGCAGTATCAAACCGGGAAATGCTTATAGCTCAAAACAGCTCCTTGGAATTTAAGCTACACAGACTGTATTTTATTAGCCTGTTAATGGGTGGAACCACAAATCAGCGAGAGGCATTACAATATGCTAAAAATTTTCAGCCATTTGCCCTAAATCATCAAAAAGGTGAGTCTGGAGTCAGATACTATTAATGTTTGAATCAGGGCTATAGCCACCACTGTAACTTAACAGTTCTTAACTAGAGCTAATACATATTTGCCAGTAAACAGTTGTAGATGATAATCACTTACAGGAAAAGCTCTCACTGGCTCTAGAACAAATGCAAAAATATTAAAGCCTCTTATAAGTCAGAGATGTTGCAGATTTTGGAATTCCATATTAAACTAAGAGGGGACCTGAGAAAGGGCAAAGTGTGTGCTCATTTCCACCCCCAACTGGCTGTATGCTGCTGCTGTTGCCACAGCAAAGTGTCAGAGAGCCAAGGTGGCAACTGTTAACACCTCGTATCTGTGTAGGAATACATTATCTCTGCAATCAGAGATAATGTGATGACATAATTGTGACTCCTCTAGGCAATGGTAATTATGCTATGCTGTGAAAAAGAATTTATATATAAGTTCAGTATTTTCACTACTTTCCTTTTCTCTCCATGCTATTTGTTTAATTTAGGGTGAAGGAAGAAACCAAGCTTAAGGATCAGAATTTTAAAAGACTTGTTAATCCATTATTTTAGGCTGTATCAGTATGGGTGGGGGTATTCTTGCCTTTCGCAGCTTATTACCTGCAAGCAAACTAATACTTTCTTGCTGGTGCTTTTTTTCAGACATTCAGGTTTTGATGGGAAGCCTTGTGTATCTGAGACAAGGGATTGAGAACTCACCATATGTTCACCTACTTGATGCCAACCAGTGGGCTGATATCTGTGACATCTTTACACGGGATGCTTGTGCCCTCCTGGGGCTCTCCGTGGAGTCCCCTCTCAGTGTCAGGTATGGAAATTGGCCCAGTGTTATTGAAGTATGCACTGCATTAGTCACCTCTCCTTAACTTGTTTGGTTCTTGATGTTTAAGACCAAAAGAACTTTAGTCTTTCTGAAGAAGAGTGCAATTGATATTTCAAAAGATAGCACAATTGGCAGTGACACTGTTTTAGAGCAGCAGATTTGAAAATGTGGTATGTGAACCTCAGGGGATCCTGAGAGCCTTTTTCACTGTGTAGACATTAGTACAGGTGGTCCAGAAACAGTGATGGGCTAAACTGCTAGAGCCTTAGCACAAGTCTGGGTGGTGGTACAAACTCCACAAATACTTGGTGGATTCCTCACCATCACACACTTATAGCTTAAGAAATGCTAGTTTTACTTAACCATGCCTGTACAGCACTTTGGGAGGCCAAGGCGGGTGGATCATGAGGTCAGGAGTTCGAGACCAGCCTGGCCAACATAGTAAAACCCCATCTCTACTAAAAATACAAAAAATTAGCTGGGCCTGGTGGTAGGCACTTGTAATCCCAGCTACTCAGGAGGCTGAGGCAGGAGAATTGTTTAAACCTGGGAGGTGGAGGTTGCAGTGAGCCAAGATCACACCATTACACTCCAGCCCAGCCCAGGCAATAGTGCGAGACTCTGTCTCAGAAAAAAAAAAGCTCTTGGCCTGGTGTGGTGGCTCACATCTGTAATTTTGGGAGGCTTAGTGGGGAAGATCTCTTGAAGCCAGGAATTTGCGACCCATCTGGGCAACATAGCTAGACTCCATCGCTACAAAAAATTTTTTTAAAAAAGGATGTTCTTACTTCTTTAAACATTTAAATTATTTTATGAAATTTTGACCTTTGAGTATACATCATCTTAATAGTTTGTATGACAAAATAGGAAATCCATATAAAGCACTTTAGTTTATGCCAAATTATTGTAATTGTCTTGAGAAAAAGTATGTTGTTTTGAGTTAATGAGCTAGCTAGTCACTTTTTTTCATGGAATAGTTTTTTTTGTTTGTTTTTTGTTTTGTTTTGAGACGGAGTCTCACTCTGTCCCCTGGCTGGAATGCAGTGGTGCAATCTCAGCTCACTGCTGCCTTCACCTCTTGGGTTCAAGCGATTCTCCTGTCTCAGCCTCTAGAGTAGGTGGGATTATAGGTGCCTGCCACCAGGCCCAGCTAATTTTTGTATTTTTAGTAGAGATGGGGTTTCATCATGTTGGCCAGGCTGGTGTTGAATTCCTGACCTCAGACAATCCACCTGCCTTGGCCTCCCAAGGTGCTGGGATTACAGACATGAGCCACTGCACCCAGCCGTGGAATAGTTTTTACTTGAAAGAATTATTAACATACAGTTATTCACTCTCAGGTTTTTGTCCATCTTTTTTTTTCCCCCTAAATTTTTAAGAAACAGAGTCTGGCTGTGTTGCTCAGATTGGACTCAAACTCCTGGGCTCAAGTGATTCTCCTGCCTCAGGCTCCTGAGTAGATGGGACTACAGTTGTGCACCATATTACCCAGCCATTTTTTTTAAGTGAATGAAGAAACCTTATCACATTTGAAAGGTCTTAATTAAGCATGATCTTACAAAAGCATGCATGAGTAAAAGTCATTTAAAGTACAAGACAGACAAATGGATTTTTAATGTAGCAGGGTACAGAAAGTTTAATGGTAAAGTTTCAGATTCTGCTCTGCTTTTAGAAAACTACTACCTGTTTTGGCCAAAACTGTGAAAAGTCAGTTTTGGTGTGGTATTAAGGAGGAATATCCACAATGATCTAAAAAAGTGATCAAAGTAGTCTAGTCATGTGCATGAGACAAGGTTTTTTAAATTTACCTCGACCAAAAGAACATATCACAATAGATTTAATGCAGAGTAAGCTATAAGAATCCAGCTGTCATTCAGGAGATTTGTAAAAGTGTGGAACAGTGCCACTCTTCTCACAAATATATTTTTGTTTTGGAAAGTGTAGTTATTTTTATAAGAATGTTGTTTATAATAGTGGCATGGTATTTTATTTTTAAATGGACTAAGGGGCACCTTTTACATTTCTCATTTTAATTTCTAGTGCATTAAAACATATAGCTCATGAAAACAAAAGCTCTTTGAGATCCTTAATACTTCAGCATGAAAAGGGGTCCCGAAACCAAAACATTTTAAGAACGTGTTTTAAGAAAATAACTTTTTTTTTTTTAGCTCCTCTGTTCATTTAATTCCACAAATGTTTTGCATACCTACTACGTGCCAAGCACTGTTGGCACTGTGTTGGATACAAAGATGGTTAAGGTGCATTTCACAGGGTGCTCTATTCTAGCATCGAAGCAAACCAATGCAATTAGCTATAATCTGAGGTATTGTTGCCATCAGGTTCCCTGAGGAACAGACTCTCGAGGGAATGTACATGCAGGAAGTTTATTGACATCAGCATCTGGGGGAATGAAAACAGCAGGACTGAGCAGAGAGGGAAGTTAGACTGTGTTAGAATTGCAACAAGGTCTCTGCTGTCCCTAAGGAGCTCTGGAGCTTTGATGGGCCTGTGGAGTTGTCCCAAATTGGGCCTAAAGGGCTAGGCTTCTGTATCCTCACATCGAGCAATCGCCAGATGTGACTCTGGTCAGATGGCTGTCTTCAACTGAGGACAGTCCTGAAGAGACGATCACAGCTGACATTTGGCTGCCAACACTTCCAGATCGAAGAAATGAGTGCTTCCACCCTGGACAGGGGTGATCTGGGGATAAGAAGAACTAGGCAAAAACGTGTTTCAGGGGTGAGCATGTCATTTGACTGATAAGCTGAGCCCATTAAACCTGGTTGTTTTGTACAATATGAAACCTTTTTTGGCACTAATATAAGATTATTATGAAATTATTTACTTTTTGAAACAGGGTCTCATTCTGTTGTCCAGGCTGGAGTGTGGTAACATGATCATAGCTCACTGCAGCCTGAACCTTCTGGGATCCTCCCACCTCAGCCTGCTGAGTAGCTAGGACTACAGGCACACAGCTACTGTACCTGGCTAATGGCTAATTTTTATATTTTTTATAGAGAACAGGGGGTCTCACTGTATTTCCCAGGCTAGTCTCAAATTCCTGGACTCAAGTAATTCTCCCATCTTGGCCTGCCAAAGTGCTGCAATTATAGGAGTGAGCCATCACCATCTGTTGTTGTTATGAAATTCTCTAAAAACTTCATTCTCAATTCTGTACTTCTTTCCTTTGGACCAAAAATGGTATATAAATCAGCACCGTCTGCAGACCACATTTTTAGTATCACTGTTCTAGTTAGCATATACCTTGGACCACATTGTGTAAGAAAAATAAACAAATATGGTGGTAGGTGGTCTGAAAGAAAGAGAATAGGAAAGGAAGTTATATCTTGTATATTGCCGAATGCAGAATTTTGTCCAAGAACATCTCTTTTTCTTTCATAATCAGATGCTGAAACTACCCTGTTTGGAAGAATAGTAGTTCTTAATTCCTGCTCTTCCTTCATTTGAATTAATTGGTTTTCCAAATCTTCTTTCTTTTTTAAAATGGATGTTTTAAAACTTTGATTTTCTGTGTTTTGAGGAAGTAAGCTCAAGTTAAATCACCCTAGCCAGATGAGTTTTAGTTTTTTTTTTTTTTTTAAGTTGTGCATTCTTTAACTGCATTTCTCCCCATATTGGTGAGGTTTGTTTAGTAAATTTAGTTTTATTTTTTAACTGGGATTGTTTTTCAGTAACTTCAGGAAATAAACCAGTGGGCCTGGGGAAGAAGGGGAGGGAAAACAAGTTATTTTTCTTCTAGTGGAAATGGCTAGGCTTACTTCTAGCAGAACATAAGGCTTCCGCCCTGTCCAGTGGCCAGGGCCTGCGGCATATAGAGTCTGGAGAAATTGATGTCTCCCTGGACCAAGTAGCCTGACACCTGGCCTGGCACTGACATTTCCTATTCTGCTCTCCTAGTTTCTCAGCAGGTTGTGTGGCGCTGCCAGCTTTAATTAACATCAAAGCTGTGATTGAACAAAGACAGTGCACTGGAGTTTGGAACCAGAAAGATGAATTACCTGTGAGTTCCATTTTCTATTGGCTATTTACTTTTACTGTCATTAGAAAAATATGGCATCTTTAAATGCTCATCTTATCTTTTAATCAGGAAACATTATTGTAGTCATTTGACAGTAGTTCTTTTATGGATATGTAAAAGATTAAACAATACAAATGAGGCACCTAGTATATTTGGGGGACCTTGGAGGAGTATTCTTATAATTTTGACTTGAAGTGGCCTTGAAAAATGGTGAAGGAAAACATCAGAAGTGGGGAGTGTTATACATACAGTAGCATGCACTGTGTTCTGCAGTGCAGTTCACAAACCACTCCTATGATTGTTTTTCAAATATAAAAGCAATTTTAATTGGATTTGCTTTTGTCTTAACAATTGTTGTTAAGATCCTGGGTTTGCACTGGTTACATTTTCCTAATGCCAATAGAAATAAGTATAGAGCTGTTCAAGGTCATTCTTTTAACACCTGTAGTCATCAGTGGGCCTTCAGTACTGTATTGCTACTGCTTTTCGTGGAAAGGACCATGGTTTTAAACATCAGCACCAATCACTTGCCAGCCCTGGAACTTCTCTAAGCAGTAGCGTATTCATCTCTAAGACAGGACATAGCTTTCTCTTTATGGGGCTGCTGAAGGCTAAAGATAACATAAGCATGCCTAGAATAGTATGGGACACATGATGGGCACTCAAATTGTGGCTGCCATGGTGCAGTTATGACATGGAGTGGCAGAGGTAATTGTATGTGTGTTTCTGCCAGGTCTGTGACAGACACTAAGACTCCGGCCTGGAATTGTCATTTATGTTATGATTGTGTCACAGACCCTGAAAAGCTAACATGCATTTGGGCTTTTTTTTTTTTGCCTTTTATATCACACCTATACACAGGTTTCTTTGCAGTTACCTTGTTCTTTCAGCTGGTAACCCTGTCAGTTGGTTTCCCCAGCTTCTTCTCCAAGATCTTTTCTGATTAAAGGCACAGGTGCAGTTCTAGGCCTGAGTGTGGTCAGAATATAAGCAGCACTCCTGCTCTACTGCTGCTAACTTGAACAAGTGAAAAGAACTTGAGCCTTCACTTGTTTTGTGGAGGCAGGTGCCTGGCATCTGGCAGTTTCCCGTTTATGTTTTAAGCATCTCTAACATGCCCTAGGACAGAGCAGACTGAAGTCTGAATTCACCTAAAGACTGTGTTGTCCAGCCAGTAAAGCCATTAGACGTGGTCTGCCCATTAGAGGTGATAACCTGGTCACTGTTTGTCAGGCTTGTTTTTATGTTTTGTCAGCTTTCTTGAAAATAATCTTGAAGGCTAATTAACGCTTTGAATCACTAAGACTCTCCATCTTTGAGTTAGAAGAGTGCTATAGAAAGTTATATTCAGGTGAATATATCTGATCAGTGTTCTTTGCTGCACAGTGTATATTACCATGTGGATGGTTTTGCGAAATAATGACTTTAGCTTTTTTCTTTTTTAACAGATTGAAGTGGACCTTGGTAAAAAGTGCTGGTATCACTCTATATTTGCCTGCCCCATTCTTCGTCAGCAAACAACAGATAACAATCCACCCATGAAATTGGTCTGTGGTCATATTATATCAAGAGATGCCCTGAATAAAATGTTTAATGGTAGCAAGTAAGTGACTTTTTAAAAATATTAGCAAATAAATTTGGTTTTGGAACTTGGTAGGAGGATAAGAAGTAATGAGGATTGAAAAAATGCAGCTAGATTTAGAACTAAATACATTTCTTAACTATTCATTTGGCAGAGTAGGTGGTATCTGATTTGACTATTTTTTATTTGTTTATGGATTTGGTGATTAGATTTATAAGCATGTCTTTAACTTCCTTAACTTTTTGGGCAGGTGATAGATTTTCTCCTTTTTTTATACAAATGGTTGCATGCTAAATAATGTTCCATAGTTTGCCATTTTCGCTTAGTGATGTATCTTGGAGATCTTTTTCTATGCTGCAGAAACAGCCCTCGTTGTTTTTGTTAAAGCTGCAGCATATTTTACTGTATAGAAATATAAGATTGGGTAGCCAATTCCCTATTGATGAACATTTGTTTCTCTAAACAGTGCTCAAGTGAATTATCTATACACATAAATTCCTAGAATTCAAATTGCTGGTTCAAAGAATATGTGCATTTTAAATTTATTTTAGATAGTGAGCTCAACTTTTTTTTTTTTTTGAGATTGAGTCTCACTCCATCACTCAGGCTGGAGTACAGTGCAATCTCAGCTCACTGCAACCTCTGCCTCCCGGGTTCAAACAATTTTCATGCCTCAGCTTCCTGAATAGCTGAAATCACAAGATACGCTCCACCGTGCTTGGCTGATTTTTGTATTTTTATTAGAGATGGGGTTTCACCACGTTTGCCCAGGCTGGTTTCAAACTCCTGAGCTCAAGCGATCCACCCACCTCAGGCTCCCAAAGTGCTGTGATTACAGGTATGAGCCACCATGCCAGGCCAAAATTGTTGATCTTCATTCAGACTGTACTGGTTTCATGTCCCACTGTGAGCCATGTGGGCTGTTCTGTTCTTGGTGTGAGCTTATAGCTGCCATCACATTCACTGCCCTTGAATGGATTTGTGTGACCAGTGCATTTGAAATTCATTTAGAGACTGATGCAACCTTAACCTTTGGGAAAGGGAAATTGAATTTATTTTTGAAACCCCAAAAACAATTTTCAGAAAAGTTATCTTTGTTTTGTTTATGAAGCAATTTTCAATGAAGAACAGGCTTTCAGTTTAGGATCTGGCATGGATGGTAATGTATTTGTGACCCTTCAAATCTTGGCAGTTACATTAAGGGAAAGCATAGTTTATCCTCAAAGCACAGGCACACCTGTGTTTTGTGTATTCTTATATATGTGTATAATTGTTAAAGATACTCTGTAACTAGATAAAAATTAAATACTCAGTGCTGAGCCTGTTCCTTCACTCAGTGTTTTCTTTTTGTCTTTAGATTAAAATGTCCATACTGTCCAATGGAACAAAGCCCAGGAGATGCCAAACAGATATTTTTCTGAAGAGATAACTTTAGTTTGCAATTTGTAAGTGAAACTGAATTGTGGGCGCATTTCAGAAGAGAATGTTCCATATAATGCAGCTAACCAAGGACTCCCATGTTTCTATAAGCTAATGCTCCAGAAACTTTGCCAACCTGTTAGTGTACACACACTGAGGGGAGTGCTCCCAGTGAATATTATCATAGGGCTTTATTATATTCTTGGTCTTCATTTCTGATCAAGTAAATACACCAGCAGTTGTCATTCAGTGCAGGTTTTTGTACTTAATTATATGGTGATTTTTTTACTTTTTAAGAGCAGAAACGGAAATTGACCTCCCCACCATGTGTTTAATATTTCTCCTGCTTTTACTTTTGTCATTTTCTTGATAATTGTAAGCCTTGAGAGTGTTTGTGAAAAAGTTTTATTTTCAGTTATGTATACATAATTAAAAGTTTTCAGAAAAAGTTTGACAAATTGTGGTTATGAAACTAATTTGCATTTTTATTTGCTTAAGGAAGAAAGCTGTGATAGATTCCAGATTTGCTTTTTGATGTTTTCCTCTGCTCCAGCTCCAAGAAGTCAGCACACCTGCATTTTAGCTCTGCATGCAGCCCCAGCAGGCTGTGTGTTAAAAATTTCATTGTTTAACCAGCTGGTGTGAGAAGTCTTCCGTTAGAGTAGAAGGAGTACTATTATTTGTTTTTTTGTTTTTTTTTGCTTTATTGCCAAGAGGTGCTTGTTTTAAAAGTATGTTTAATAAAATGAAATTCTAAAGTTAGAGGTGTTCTTAAGTTGATATTTGCTCTCTTGGTCCTGGTAGCCCTGTTATATCATTGCAGACACAGTGTTGTGCATGTGTGTATATATGTGCACCAGCATCAAACATTGTGTATCTGGAAGGAAAGCAGCATGTTCCAGTTCTAAAATGCAGTTACCAGACCCACCACTTTAAATCTTTAAAGTTAGAAGCTAGCAAATTTTCTGTAGTACAGAATGTTTATTGCTGTTTTTGTGTTTGAATAGTATAATGTTCGATGCCTCTCTTCAGCAAAGTGTATCATTTCATTACTGTGAATCTGTATATTAATCTAATGGATACAGATAATGATCTTTTCTCTTGTGAGGTATCTTCATTTAATGTACTGTCCAGAAATAGCCATGTGTAAGAGTCTCTCTGTATGATGAACCACATGGAAAAGACTTCTGTGGACATAATTCTGACTTAAGCCCATGAAGTTACTTCATTATAAGAAGAATGTTACATGGAAATCACCAAATATTTCGTGACTTTATTTCATCTGACATGGAGTGAATATCAATAGGAATACTTTCATAAGAAAATGAAAAAAGAAAACAGAAGCAAAGAGAAATGTTGCGCTTCACATTTTAAACTACAAATGGACTTAGTCTGAGGGAGGGCAATCACAGATTTGGTGCTAATTAGAAACTGGCAGCATTTACAGTAGTACACCAGCCTGGATGTTTTTTTCTGAACTGTTTACCTGGGAGAGCTGGGATTTGTTTGTGAAGCGAAAGAGTGCTGCGGAAAAGCTCTGTTTGCATACTGTGTAGCTAGGCCTATGTGGATGGCTACTGCTTGCTATGTGGGTTCTCCAGCAGTTGGGATTGGCCTAGCTCAGAGTGCTTGTCTGGTCCAACCTCAGTCTGGCCCCATAGCGACTTTTGCCCCATGATTCTGCTTCACTGTTGGAATCCTCTTTGAAGTTCCCCCTCTCTTTACTAAAGCAGTGAAGGAAGAGAACAGAGACAAACTCTGGACTGTGAAAGAGAAGGTAGAGAATTCCAGGCAACAGTCTGACTAAGGGTGTAAACCAGTTTATTATACATATATATATATATTTTTCCCTTTGAATTAAAACCTAGAGTATTGTTTTTTTTGTTTTTGTTTTTTACCCTTTCCTCCCTAGGCCAAGGTTAGCTTATTCTCATCTTTCCACCCCATATACCTACACAACATTTAGGCTTCATATAAGGTTTGAATGAGACAGATGTACTCTGAAGGCTGGTGGTAAATGTGTTTGGTGACCGAACACTTCATACAGTTGGCTTGGGCCACTTTTAAGGACAAAAGCCAGAGCTCAGCTTTATCCCTCTCCTAATGTTGGGAGTCAAAAAACTGTTGACAGTTTTCTTGTGCAGCTCATGAAAACTTTAAAAAGAACATGCTTTAACTGAAGCATTTGACTTTGCTGCTTTCTGTGTAAGGTCCTTGTACTCACCCTGGGCAGGGTGAGGGCCAAAAAATCTGCAACTCATGAATCTGACAATTTTACGTAGAAATTATGTCTTGTGACCATCCCTAAGTGCATAGATCTAAAATTCATGAGAGACTAAATGGGAGGGAGAGGTGGATTTAAAGAGGCCAGACCTTAACCAAAGATGCTGAGATATAGCATTCTGTCCTCCCTACCCTAGAAACTCCGTCATAAATGCTGTCACGACTCTTTCATCGCTGATGCTTTCTGCATGTCAGCAGTACAGGAGGATGCTTTTTGTCTCTCTTTGCCTCCGCTTAAAAAAGATAATGACAGAGGCAAGATTTTAACAGTCACATTTAATTATAAGGTACATCGAAGACAGAATTTCAGAATGGTTTCTAAAATTTTCTTGGGAACTGTTTCCACATATCAGTTATAGACAAAGGCCATGAGACTATGCTACACCAATAAAACCTTATTAGCAAGTCTTCAGAATCTGACTTAGCCAGAGCATCTGAGTGTTCAAGTACAGTTGTATAGTGGCTAAGGTTGTCTCTTGATCTTTTTTCTCTGTTGTGTGATCATCACAGATGCTATTTCCGTTGTTTTATTGGTGATTATATGAGACTTCTAATACATAAATGAACGGGTATTGGTGCCTCTTTATTTTAAAAATTTTGAAGAAAAGAGCCACCTCATATTCATAGGGTGTGTATTTTTTGAGTGTGTGAACATTTAATTGAAAATAAGAAAGTTATGAAGTAAATCTTAACTTTTCTGTAGCAGCTAATGTATACAGAGACACTAAAACCTACACCACATTTTGTGGGGAATGAGGATCCTCTTTTGTCCTCTCCAGGTAGTCCCGCAGGTTAGGCAGCTTAAGTTCAGTGTTCTTTATGCTGTGAATGATTTCCACCTCCGTGGCTTAGCCTTTGGGACAGTGGACACTGCAGCAACCAAGAACTCTTGGTTAACCGCACAAAACAAGCTGCTGGTAGACTACATTAGCCCTCTGGTTTTCCAGCTCAACCTCTGATAAAGTGGACTGACAGCCACGCTGCTCAGTCTGTTTAGTCAGCCGACTCAGGTTATTTTCAGGGAAGGCATGGAGGCATAGTTTGGTTAGTTTCATCACTATGATGCATAAGGTGACGACACAAACCAAATACCTTTCATCACTTAACTATACGTACGTTATCTCTGGTAACACTAGAATGCTGTGGTCTTGAGGGAATGTTAGCAAGGAACACATAGAAGATTTGGTGTTTCATAAGCCTGTCTAGCTGCAACAGGCTTTGTGTGGTACACTGATGTTTACCATAAGCCGGTACAAGCTTCATGAACCGTTCTTAATGAACTACAATTGAATAGATACCAAAAATAGAATGACAAATGTATTTTAATAGCAGACGAGGCAGTTAGTTTTAGGATGAATTTTCCACTGTTGATTTTACTTCAAGACATAGCAAGAGACATAAAATTTTGTTTTCAAGACATTTCCACTACAGTTTCAAGCTGTAGTGGGCATATGCTTCATTTACTTCCAAAGAGGCAAGAGCAGCTGGAATTGGCTTACAGCACATGCTTTGTTTCATGTTGTGGGTGAGGACCTACATACATTCTTATTTTAACAGTCACTTAACCTTCTCCAGCAAGGCAGTTGTGGGGTTCACTAGGATTTAGTGCCTGATCTTTTCTTTGGGAAGGGGGTGGGAATGAATGTGTTGGGGCTGGGAGGGAAGCAGAAGAAAATGGGAGCGTGAGTGAGTGTGCATGTGTCTGAAATTCACCATTGCCCCCACCTGTACCTAGCAAGGAACTAGGTGTTTGATGTATTTTGCTCATGACTGCAGTATGCATGTATTTTTTTCCTTTTCTGTGTTTTCTAAACTTACACTAAAGGATTCATCAAATCATCTTGTTCAGATGGCTCAGGATTGTATTTATTTTGCTTACCCTGTGCTCTTGGGTTCTATAGTATTTCTATAATTATGTAATGAGAATAGTGTTGCACTGTAATCTATCATATAGAGCTATATGTATGGAAAATTTTGATCAATTTTTTACGAAATGTATCCTGTTTGCAAAGGCACAATAAAGTTGCATCTTATAGACTATAGGCAATAAAGCTAACAATAAACCTTATTTAACACAAACCACATCCATATCCTCTGTTCATTTGATTTTGGAAAAAGTCTAGCATATCTGGTAGTTTCAGGGAATTCATTTTAACTTTAAGAATTCTGATATATTTAATTTATAAATTTCTGACTGATAACAGAGTTTTGGAAAACTATAAGAAATGCTTTGTTAATGTGTGTATTCCTATGTAAAACACATGGCTTCTCCTGTGTATATTTTTAAAAATTAAAGAAATGCACATTTAAAAAGTGTTTTGTGGAACCGGTCTGTATAAATGTGCCAGGTGACAAAGGTATAAGGGAGGGAGTAGGGAGGTGCTGACTGTGGTAGAATTGCTGTCTGCATTTGCTAAGGGTCTGCATAAGGAAATATCTGTCACCGTCTTATTCTGTTTCTGTGCCACCAACAGCGAGAAGAGGTGGTGACTGGGTATTGTCCCAAGTTTTGGTGGTGGTGGTTTTTGTTTTGAGACAGAGTCTCGCTCTGTTGCCCAGGCTGGAGCGCAGTAGCCTAATCTCGACTCACTGCAACCTCCGCCTCCCGGGTTCAAGCAATTCTTCTGCCTCAGCCTCCCGGGTAGCTGGGATTACAGGTGCGTGCCACCATGCCCAGCTAATTTTTGTGTTTTTAGCAGAGACAGTGTTTCACCATGTTGGCCAGGCTAGTCTCAAACTCCTGACCCTCAAGTGATCTGTCTGCCTAGGCCTCCCAAAGTGTTGGAATTACAGGCGTGAGCCACCACACTTAGCTGAGTCCTGAGTTTCTGAGTAGGCAATTATGTTAATGTTTCCAGGCTGCTGCCCCCTCTCACCCCTCCTGTGCACAGCAGGGACTCTGATCGGTGTGCCGACCAGAGTGGCAGTGAGTGTGTAGGCCTGGCAAAGAGGAGCCCAGAAGCAGCTTGATGTCCAGGCTGCTGGTGCGGTGGAACTTGTGCTGTCAGCATTGCCAGGAAAGACCAGAGACTGAATTGCCTCGTCCTCAATGGCAGGCTGAGGTGGTAGAGACCAAGAATTTATTTGTTCTCCTTTTGTATATTTTCGAAGAGATTTGATGTTACCTGAGATTTTAGGATGTTTCCTACCTATAGAAACCCTTGTGATCCCACCCAGTCATTGGAGCTAGTGGCCCAGGTAGTATAGAAGAGGCCTGGCAGGCCAGGCCAAGGTCTCACCACCTTTCCCTCCAGCATTTGGGCTCCTTAGGACTCAAAAGTGTTGTCCATGGACCAGCAGCATCAGCCGCACTTGGGAGCCTATGAGAAATGCAGAATCTCAGGCCTGAGCTCAAACCTACTGAACTGAAATCTGCATGGTCATGAGAAAACGGATTTCCTTTATAAGGAGCTTCCTGGATGCTTCCTATTTCAGGAAATATCCTCCCTTGTAAATGTGGCAGGTCAAGATCACTCACACTGAATAGGATTTACCTTTGAGGACTAAGGGTAAATCTGTTAGTCATCAAGAAAGTTTAAACTAACTGTGCTTTGAACTGTAGTTTTTTTTTTTTTTAAATGAGTGTTATTTCTTTAAGCATCTAAGTAATTGAGGGAGTACTGTATTTGCAGCATGGTAAAGTGCATTTTCCATTCCCTTCACCGAAACAGGGATGGTGTGCATCAAAGATGAAAAATAATTTTCATAATGACAGGGACTAAAAATGCACCCTTAAACGAAACAGCTTGATGCTTCTCACCCCCAGTAGAGAAAACTTGATAATCAGCCATATCCCAGCAGAAGGACAGGCTTTCCTAACTTTTCTTCTGTCAGCACCCTGTAAGAAATTTAATATCATAACCCTGTGTACACAAAATTTAGAATTCTGAAACATTTTGCAAAACAATATTTAATGCTACAAATGTGTGTGATGTGCTATTTCATTTTTAATGCTCACCAAGAATGATTTGATTTTGTGACCTGCTAATGAGTCAGTTTTTAAAACCTTGCATGACAGAATAATAATGCAATGGTCTACTTATCCACCAAATTTCTTTGAAATCTGTCAATATATGTATGATAGAAAGTACTTAAAAAAAAAAAAAAAAAAAAAAAACTTTCCTTGTAGCAGTAGGGTATTTCATACCCTGTGTGAGTCTTCTATGCTGGCAAATGTGGTGATGCACCTCAATGCTAGAAGGCTTGTGTAATCCAGAGCTACTAATTAGTGAGCTCTCCTGTCAGGCAATGTTGCATTTATTTAGCTATACTTCCTTTCAGCTTAGAAAAGTGCAAAGTTATGGCCAGGCATGGTCGCTTACGCCTATAATCCTAGCACTTTGAGAGGCCGAGGCAGGCAGATCACTTGAGGTCAGGGGTTCAAAACCAGCCTGGCCAACATGGCGAAAACCTGTTTCTACTAAAAATACAAAGAAATTAGCTGGGTGTGGTGGTGGGCACCTGTAATTCCAGCTACTCGGGAGGCTGAGGTAGGAGAATTGCTTGAACTTGGGAGGCAGAGGTTGCAGCAAGCGAAGGTCATGCCAACTGCAGTCCAGCCTGGGCGACAGAGCAAGACTCCATCTCAGAACAACGGAACAGAAAGTGCAAAGTGCTTTATGCTAAACATTGGCATGTAAAGTAGAGTCCTGTAATAAAAAGACGTGAGTTTTAAGATGTTGTGGTTTGACATCTTAGCAGTCACTCATTTAACATTTCCACTGTGCTGGGCACTAAGATGAAACAGCCTACAAACTGCTGGAAAATACAGAAAAGTAGAGCTGAGGTCCTGTAGTGAGGTTAATAACACGAGAGTGTTGGAAGAGACAGGAGGGCTGTAATAGTTGCATGTTTTTAAGGCCCACTCTGGCCACAATGGGATGAAGCGTGGTAGGGGAGGGGACAAGGCTAGAGCTGGGGAGGACAGTAGGTAATTAAGGTCAGTGTGAGTATTTGTTGAGTTGGGGGTGGTGGCGGGCGCCTGTAGTCCCAGCCACTCGGGAGGCTGAGGCAGGAGAAGCACCTGAACCCGGGAGGCAGAGGTTGCAGTGAGCCCAGGTCGCACTTGCACTCCAGCCTAGGCAATAAGAGCGAGACTCCATCTCAAAAAAAAAAAAAAAAAAGAAAGGTATCTATTGCTGGCTGGTGTTTTGATACAGATACCAAAACAAAAAACCACAGTATTTGTTGAGTATTGGTCTCGGGTACTCTTGGAGATCTCAGGTAGAGTGGTAAACAAGGCAGACTTGTTCTCTAAGTGAGAATCAGTGTCATATCTGAGAGTCAGAAATGTCATGAAGGAAATACAGGATGGCAATGTGCTCATCACACAGTGCTCTGAGCCTCCTGGTATTTAGAAAAGCAGTATGATGTTCTTGTCTCAAGTGATAGTGGGCTTTTTTGCTCTAGCGTTTTAACTGTATTCCCACTCTTTCTATTATCTATGTTTTCTAGGAGGATGAGTTTCTAACTTCACTGGTCTCCTTATATTGGTCTCCTACACTGTGTGGGTTGTGTAAAATTCTCTCAAATTCCACTTGGGGCTGGCCTTTTTACTCTATTCGAAGACATTTAGTGGCTGGGCCCAGTGGCTCACGCCTGTAATCCCAACACTTTGGGAGGCCGAGGTGGGCAGATCACTTGAAGTCAGGAGTTCAAGACCAGCTTGGCCAACATCATGAAACCCCATCTCTACTGAAAATACAAAACTTAGCCGGGCACGGTGGTGTGCGCCTATAGTCTCGGCTACTCAGGAGACTGAGGCAGGAGAATTGCTTGAACCCAGGAGGTGGAGGTTGCGGTGAGCCAAGATTGGGCTACTGCACTCCAGCCTGGGCAACAGAGTAAGACTCTACCTCTAAATAAATAAATACAGACATTTACCTACCACTCAAGTGTTGGATCCAGTCAAATGAAGGATTCTAGTGTGTCATTTTCCCCTCTGATGTAAAAATGTTTCTTGAAAGACATGTCCTTATCATTCAAGACTAAGCTCTCCCCTTGAGAATAATTAGAAACGCATTTTAAGTTTTCTTTCATTCTTAAGCACAAGACTATGCTGTCTTTAGATATTTGAGATTAGTGAGCTAATCTGCCCTAAAGAGGAATTTCACGGGAAATTATTAAATTGTCTTGAAAGCTTTCAAGAGTGGCTCAGGAAATACGGGGCTGAGGGCCTCTGTCCTTCCTAGCATGTGCCCTTAGGACTAGGCTTAGTAGCAGTTGTGGAGTAGGTTGCACGGGGTTTGCATGGTAGCTTCATGACCATCAGGGGCCTAGACTCCTTTCTGCTCCATGGTCTTAACATACGACCTCAAATTTACTCTTTTGTAATCCTAGCTGTGTTCCAGACAGGAAGGAGGAGGAAGTGGGTGGGGAAAGAGCAACCTTCTCCGTTGAGATAGCCCCTCTAGGAGCCTTTCCTGGAAACCCCACCTGGCAACTTATTTGCTGCGTGTGGCTGCAGGTGTGTGTGGGAACGTGGTCTCAGTTGGACACATTACCATCTCTTCAGACGCTAATTGTGTGCTCAGGCAAGTGATAGAAACTTCCTACACTTTTGCTTCTTCATCTGCAAAATAGAATGATAATAGTTCCTACATCATAGTTTTCATAGTTTCGATGAGACCTAAATGAGATACTGAGCTATGGTGAACATTGAATAAACTGGTAGTTTTATTAAATCAATAGAATATAAATGACATTTACAGACCACGGTCAGCTAAGGCGGAGCAGAAAAGGGAGAAATAGTAACTGGCACTCAGAGGTGAGATGTGTCTGAAGGGATGGAGGGCTCTTCAGTAGGTGCCAAGATGGCAAAATAGTACAGCACACTTTTTTCCTCCTCTGCCCTTCGTCAGCTGCCCAGAGGATAAGTAATAGAAACTTCCTACACTTTTGCTTCCTCATCTGCAAAGCAGAATGATAGTAGTTCCTACATCATAGTTTTGATGAGACCTAAATGAGATACTACTATGTGGGTTGTGTAAATTCTCTCAAATTCCACTTGGGGCTGGCCTTTTTATTCTATTTAAAGACATTTAGTGGCTGGGCGCCGTGGCTCACGCCTGTAATCCCAGCACTTTGGGAGGCCGAGGCGGGCGGATCACTTGAGGTCAGGAGCTTGAGACCAGCCTGGCCAACATGGTGAAACCCCAACTAACCTAAAATAACACGGCACCAGAGCTCCCTTGTAGAATTAATGACCATAGCCATCAACAGCGGAAGTGGGGTGGTGGCACTCCGGATTCAAGGCTGAGGTGAATTTCAAATAACACAGTGCTGTCAGGGGCTGAGTCTGTCTGGGACAGAGCTTT